TTTTTACCATAGCTGATAATTCCTCCTCAATTTGGCTCAGATGCGAAAGAGATCTTCTCTATCTTACTGAAATGTACTGTCTACTTAGTTATCATGTAGCCATTAAATGAAAAAAAGTTTCAACTTTAACTGTCATTCCTTGAATCATCTATTAGATTTCTCTCCAGAACTGAAATAATGTTCCTTTAAGCCATTGTATAGTTTTTCTGTTCATCCTAACTTTGCTGCTCATTTAAATATCAATGAGAGCCTAGAGCTGCTAGATCACTATCACTAAAATAAGCCTTAATTAGACCAGAAACATGTTGATATCTTAAATTCAACATCTGAGGGAATATAATCTTGTCTAGTGTTCCACAGATGTCTTTAAGTTCCTCTATCCACCCAGTCCAATCAGAATACAGGGTACTGTAGCTACTACAAATTATACTAAAAAAATTCACTCTGAAACTGCTGCAGGGCTTCATGAGTTCATTCACTGTATGACAATCCTTTGCTTGACACTGGAATATGGTAAAACTTCTACAAATACTGAATGCTAAGGCAAAAGAAACCTGACCTTAGAATATTGTCAGATTAAAGCAGTAAGAAACTCCATCAATATCATTGCAACTTTGAAGACTGCATATATAATAAAAAGAAAAAAAACCAGAGAGTACAATAGGAAGTCATATGAGTGCTCAGCACAAAAAGAGGAGAAATGATAAACTAGAGCCTGGGGGCAAAGGGGAAATGTTGGGATTTGTGACCAGCTAGTGTTGCTACACAGAAGGTGTAAGGTAAATCGCACAATTTGGGGAAAAACATCACTGTTTCTATTGAAACTGGTTTGTGTTGTAATTTAAAAACATTTGCACTCAAAAGAGGAACTAATGTAGATCTCAGTAGGAGTTTAAATAAATTACCCTCCTCCGCCAGTGATATAACTATATCCTCCTGTTCCCAAGCCGTAACCGTAACGCTCTCCAAGAAATACTGGTTCATTTGGGTCATAGCAGCTGAGTAGTTTTCGGAGTCTGAAGATACTGTAATATGAAAATCCATTTAAAAAATGTTGCAAAACTTCATTTTGAAACATATTGCTAGCTTAAATGGTATTCTAGTAAGTAGCACAAAGATAACAGGAGAAATTCAGAAATTCTACCAAAAAAATCCCAGAGATAAAAACTGTTAAAAAGACATTTATGATATATTATTTACTATGAAATATGACAGCTGAATGTGGTCAAGTGATGAATCAAGTAGCTTAAAGTATTTTCCCGAGGTAGGTAAAGTTTGTCAGCAAAAGTACATCTCATCTCAAAGAAATTGTGAAATTATTTTTTCTGATCAGTGATAAGATCTTTGCAAACTATCAATGAACATTTACAAACTGAAAAAGGTCGGTTTAGTTATATGAATACTCTATGTACAGTTACATCCTCTTCCAAATTCTTCTGCCACATGATTGAATGTAAAGTATTGTCTTGAACCACTTATGTTCATGACCATGTGATTCTGCTCATTGATCACTGTGCCTTTTTTTTTGCTTATACTGCAGTGTCAGATTTTACGTGAATGGAATCTAATTTTCTAACAAAGGCACGTCTCTGAACATTGTTCTGGGTAGCTTGGACAAGTGACTCTAGCTTATGGAACCTTTTTTCTGACACATTTATGTGAGAAAAACATCTTAGAAAGAATATTAGTAAATGACTAAAACCAATCAGCTCAGACATACCCATACTGAGGAACCCACGTGTAATCATATTCAGACTATAACATGAAAATATTAATATGCATAGTTTTAACCAAAGTACACGATTACACTGATTTTAATATCGATCAAAAAGTGCTGAAGTGACTTTTTTTTCTTAAAGGAATATAAAGATATGTAACTAATAAAACAGGTGTATCTCTTAAATACAAAAGAATAGATGAATATTGCTAAAATTCTTATTGCCATGAACAGTACTAACTCCTGCAGTAATGAAATCTATACCTTATCAGCGTGTCATCATCCACTATGACTAACCAAGGGGTTCTGGGAGATGTATGATTCAAAAACCTTTCCAAAATGGCAAAGGTTTTCCCACAGTGACCTAAAGAAAGAGAAATTAACAGAATATACATTTAAATAAAATAGGATTTTGTAATAAACTATTATTCAATAATTAAATAAATGTTCTACTGCACTATGTAAATCATTTTAGAAATGACTGGCAAAATATTTGGGATGCGAGTTTAAGTTACAATCTTTGTTATGCAGAATGGTATTTGCAAAAACTGCTCAGCACAAGTACTTCTTTCTATGCTGGAACACACTTTGGAAGGATTTAATTCTTTGAACTAATAATAACGTTTATTCCAACTATCCTGTTATGCTGTTGGACAATACTGGACAAACTGCTGCTTTTAATTTCAAAAGCTGTAAAATGAGGAAACTATGACAGCAACATGTTCTGCAAAATACTCCAAGATATTTTCATAGCATTTCAGGATGCAGCAGGTGGATCTATTGCCTTTATATAAATATTTAGGTATACATTAATCTACTGCATTCATCACTGCAACTCAGGTCCTGATAACTGCCCCCAAGGAAAGGTGCTAATTTTTATCACAACACTATAACGAAGCTGGAGGTGCAAGACGCCCTTTACTAGGAATGGAGAAGTGAAACACCCTTGTTCAGAATGAGCAGGACAAGAGAAACAAGGAGTTTCATCTTTCTACTGAATGTTCTTTAGGTCTCAGAAAAAACTTATTGCAGTCAGTCTTCACTCAACACAGTTTGTTGTGTAAAGCAATTGTCACCATCAATATTAAAATTAATAAACATTAAAAATAAGGATAGGATATTATACTTGAAGCTACTTCCAGCTAAAACATTTTTGAGAAAAGGCCTTAAGAAATGCTTAAGAAAAGAAGGAAGTTCTGGCTGTGCTGATTTTGTGAAACTGTGAACTTAATGCAGTCATGTATGTACATTTACAAAATGAGAGCCAAGATTTCTATATTTTATTCCATCACAAAACGTGGAAGGTCCCTTCCCCCCTAGAAATACTGGGTATGGCTTCTACAGATGATCCATACACACCTGCTGTCTCCTGAAAACACTCTCTGGTTGCATATGTCCCACTGCACCTGTGCAAATAGAAATCCCTGCCTATTCTATCTCTGCTTCTAACAGACCCCGTGGAGGACAAAAAAAAAAAGGGCAGAAATAACCCAGAGATCAGAAAAACTGACCTAACTGGGCCAGATAAAGATAACAGGTCACTGCTTGGACACCTGTAGCAAAAGCATTCTTTTTAGGCTGCACAGACGTGCTACAGAGATAATTTCTAAATTACGTACTTTACATGAAATACACATATCATCCATAAAACTTAACTTCTTTAGACAGTCATTTGTGCAAAACTGACAACAACAGTCTATAGCTCACCTCTGTCAGTATTAGGTATGCCTAAATCTATAGTAGGAATGGACACGTCTGCATTATCACTGTAGTATTCAATAAGGGCAGCTTCTCTTTCCCAAGTCTGCTTTACAACCGGTACTGCAAAACAATGATTGATACTGAAACACAAGTAACTTGATTAAAATAAGTACTTGATCAAAAACTTTATGTTAACCATTTATTGTTAACCATATTCCTTTGCACAGTAATAAAAACGCTGTTTCGAATACAGCACTGTGGTTCTAAATGTTCATTCTATCTTCTTTCCCATAATACTTAGAGAGAAACAATTTTATATTTTTATGAAAGCCAGTCAGGGAAGTTTTACTTACATGATAAAAAAATTATTTAAAAATAGGACTGTAGTTTCATATTGAATTGAAAACTGTGATATTTACATTTTGTCTAACCGAAGCGTGGAATTCATTACTTTTACACTTGCTTTGGTAGACTTCATAGCACACACTCACCATAAACACAATCAGAGATCAATCCTTCTTCCAGTATTGAAACTGCCACATTTTAAAAACAACACATTCAACTGTAAACCGTATAAAATGTTCTGAATTAGAAACAGACCAAATGTGCATTTGGAAATGTTACGCTTGTGTTATACACATCCTATCTGACAGTGACGCCATGTTAATGCTCAAAAGCACCCATCTATGAAGACACACTCACAGGACATTTTATAACCATTTCTTTTATAAGTCTATAAATATTTATTATTTTATTTATAAATAAAAATATTTGTATAATATATAAATATCACACAACTTATTTTGATCCCACGGAGATTCTGTTCAAAGGAGGATTGCTTAATGCTTCTCTAGAAAAGCAACCCTTTTCTTATTAGTTTGGCATTTCACATCAACATTTAAAATTGATCATGCAAAATTCCAGCAGTGATGCTATGAATGTTTACACTACATCCAGAAGTGAATAAATTATAGGTAACCCCTAAAACCCCCAATCATCTGCAGGGTGTTTTGAAGAAAACTATCAGATTAAAATAATGATTTCCTCTTTTCCATCTTAAAAATGAAGTGGTCAGACCTTAGATGAGCAAGTAGTCTGAAACACTGTGCATTCTGCTGTCATTGTTTCTCTGCTTTATGTTCCCTGACACCATCCAGGAAGTCTCACTGGTAGCAGCCAGTGCTCTAAATGGAGGAAATATTCATGTAACTTCCCTTTGCTGCTATATAACTTTGATGCTTGTGAGCAATTCATTTTAGCCTCTTGCTAGACTCATCCATCACCTAATCTGATGTTTGCTGCCTACCTACCTGCTCACTTCCCTGTACTCTGACCACACAAGGACTTGAAGGATTAATTATTCTTGATTGACCAATAGTCAGTTTGATAACAGTTACCTTTTATTTCATTTTAGTGTTAAGACAGAGTAACAGGAACTCAATGTACTAATGGTAAGGCTTTAATATTTGGGGAAAAAAAATCACTTCTGTAGCAGTCTGCAATGGTCCATTCCGCTTTTAAAAGTTTTAAAGAAATGTAAGAGTTTTCTCATTTTTTTTGTTAAAAAAAACAAAGAGAATTATCTACAAAAAAATGCATTCATACAACTTTATAGTAGAGTTTTGAATCCAAAGCCAGGAATTTCATGAAGCATTAACTCTGCCTCCTATGTAATAAAAAGTCACATTACATCATGTAACACTGCATAATAAGGCATTAATTGGCAGAGTAAACTTTTTTTTTTTTTTCCAACTAGATTAAGAAAACAAGTAGGCAGGAAATTATTTTCGTATTTTCTGGAAATGTTCTACCGGAAAATGTCTCTTAGAAGAGCAAAACCAGAAAGCTTTCAGAAAACAAAGCCCCAGAACAGAAGTATAAAGATACACAAAAACATCCAACCTTCACCTGTTAGAAGAGACACACCTGTAAATGCTGGTTTACCTTTCTCCAAACAAGGACCTTAAACTCAGCAGGGTGCTTTAACATACTGAAATATTTGCTGTTACAGACTGAGCCTCTCAATTTCTTCAGTGGAGTGAGTCCCCTTCTTTGTATAAATGAATATGTTCACTGAAGCAAGGACTTGAATCTCACTTCAATTAAGTGGTCTAGCAAGGGGGCTACTACCTAAAGCGTCTTGCTCTTTTCCTTGCATATCTTGATGGAATTGTCACCACCCAGACTAGCGTCTATTGTAAACTGAATCCCAGAATACTCCGTAATTTCTAGCAACTTGTATCTTCCAAAGAAAGAACAAATACATAAAATTTTGGGCTAGATGTTA